AATCTGGTAAATACGTACCCTATTATTATAAATCTACCCTCGGCGTCTAATAGGTAATGGCGGAATACGAGAATGTAGACGCGATTTAGAGTATTGCATTTCTTTGTTTTTCGAATTATGTTATCAGATTATTTATTACCTTTGGAGGAAATCTTCATAGTGTTTCAGGCGATAAAAAAAACTATTGAAAGATTTTTGAAGCACTAGCTCGTATTGAGCCTTTACAAAAGATATATCCGTACCTGCCATTTCTGGCACCAAGCAGTAATGTGAGCATTACTGCGTTCCAGTTTTGAAGGGTAAGGGTGCTAGTGAAATTAGAGGCACATGAGACTTGTCAACTTTGTCTCAGGGTGACAAGCCAAGTGGCAGTGTCCCTCATTGTTGCGATTTAAGGCTCTGAGTGGCACCGCAACTGTTATGTAGAGGCGTGTCGCTTACCACCAGGCGCACGACTTGTTCATCCTGTCACTTGGTATCATAATAAAAAAATATTCTTACATTTTTTTGGGTTACTTCAGTTTAAGTAAAAGCTGTTACTTTTTAGTGAATTTACCTTTATTCTTGTGATAACATTCTGAAGAATTTATGTTACACTCCTAAACACATAATTCGAGCCACCTATTTGCATTGTAATTCTTAAAGGGCTAAATATATTATTATTATTATATAAGGGAAAAATATTGTACGGATTGCCCGAGGATGCTGGTTCGAATCCAAGTGGATCTAATGAATTTTTCTTAGCGTTCCTATCTTTGTTATAATAATTATAATAAACTAGTGAAGTCATTTCATAAAAAAAAATAATATAATGGTAGTAAAACATCGTGACATTCAATAAACTTAAAAAAAATGGAAAATAATCTCAATACAGAGTACCTCCATCACCTGATGGAAAGTGATGATAAGATCGACGATGGAGCATGCATGCCTAAATAATGCCTATTCACTCTCACCTTCACAACACCCAAGTTTTATAACGGGATTCAGGGAATAAATCTGCAGGCAAGGAATTCCTCTCCGTATAAATGTGGAAGCTATACACGTCGTACAAATCTTTGGAATATCTACAACATAGGGGTGGAACCCCAGCCTACGTCTAGTCCCCTGATGGTGGAAACGAGAAGACCAAATTAATCATGCCATTCCTTCGCACATGCTCCGTGATATGTCCTGTAAAATACCGATAAGCAGGCAACACTAAAAATACCTTGGTATTCAATTTTTAAGGTGTATTTAATTGGTAGTAGTTAAGAGTGGTCCCATCGACAATTTAAAAAAAACTTAATATGGCGTACGTAAAGCAGAAATCATGTCTTAAAAATAAATTTAGCTGATTATTTACTACTATATTTGAAATAAACCAACGGTTTGTTTGAAAAAAACAAAATATACGCGATTTAAATCCGGAAAAATAGTTTTATTTCCTATATGTAACAATCGCGAAAACCTAAAAACTCGATAGATAAACCAAAATGTATTTATTTCTTCAATATTTTTCCATTCTGTTTTAATATTAATACAGTAATATTAATAAAGAAAGGTAGTTTTTAAGATTAATAGTAGCTAATTAATATAATTGAGTTGGAAAATTCTCACTCTTAATTTCCCTAGTAATAGTTATAATATCGACTAATTAAGACCATTCTACAACCGGTACTTATATTTATAATTAAGCAGTATTAAATCAAAACAAACGATGAGAAAAAACTTCATGACAACAATCGGTAATTAATGCGAAAATGAACTTAAAGTCGTTTACCGGGAGATGTTTTTATTGGATCTTTGTAATGGGGAGTGCTCAGAAGAACTTTTCGAACTGGTGCTACCGTCTCGTTTCCACCATCGCACCGCCCGCCAAAGAAGTAGAGCCCATCCCCACATCATAGATGCCTGACATTGTAAGACCACGCGGGCGTGACATTCGTTCGCAAGATGTGGAATGATCTTTCTCCTGAAGTATTTCCTTTGTGCGACGACATGGTGTTCTTCAAAAAACGTGTCAAGAGGGCTCTCAAAGGCTGGCAACGCATAGACAGCTCATCTAACGTTGCAGATGTCCATGGGCGGCGATGACCACCTCTCGTCAAGTGGCTCGTCTGCTTGTTTGCCTCCTACTGTACATAAAAAAAGTAAACGTAACAAAATTGTCATCATCGTGCAATTTCATAATAACGTCCAATTATTGACGTAACCTAACATAACTTAATAATGCATCCAAAAGTTAATCCAATTTATTATTCGTCATATTTATTTTATGCAGTAGAGCTCTTAAAAGCCATTGGTTGGTAGGCGCAAACAAAAAACAGCGTAACGAGAAAAGTTAGAAGAACCTGCTATACCGGGCTCAAGTAAAGTGAACTGCTTTTCTTCGACTTAAATTTTGTATCAGTTTGTTTACTATCTACACCACAGACCACATAAATATTAGTTCTACACATTTAGTGTTATATGGAGTTATGTTAGAATTGTGCGACACGCTTCCGAACATAAATAAAACATTCAATTTGCGTATTTGAATAAAATAAATTAAAAATCTTACAAATATGGTCAATGTCTCTACTATTGGTAAACTGTATTATGTAATACTTATGCTTTGAGATTTAAAAACAACCTTGGTTTAATCTTGTATATGTACTATAATTATAACATTCGTTTTTATATAATTTCACCCATATTCTCAAAAACAATAAGCTTACGATATGATAAAGTAAATACGTGTTCTTCGAAAGTTTCTTACCTTAGCACAAACAGTAGAATTCCATAATTAAGTAAACGGCGCGTGAGTCGGAAAAACTTGTATTAAAGACTTCTGAGGAGAAAAACATTGCACTGTAATGTACATTTGTTGATTATCCATCGTCTAGAGTACGCAGATTTAACTATGCTGTTTTACTTTCATTATTATGTTTTATTATTTCGAATGTCGTTCACTGCAGCACTCCAAAAAGTTAAAATTTGTCGCAACGTCTTAATGTTTGCTGTAAAGTTGTAATTTCAGGTTAGTCGCTATTTTTATTTGTGCAAATTTCGCCACCTGACGTGAGCTTGTATATCTCCTCACCGAGAGTAGTACACATATTCTGGCGTCTGCGGACAATGGCGGCCACTCGCACACCGGCGAAAATGAAAATTTTTCTCAGTCGCGCCTTAATTGAATTCGCTTTAAGCTCATTTTTAATTTATTTGCATTCGCTCACCCACTTTGATGTCGGCACATGCTCCCGGGCTTTTTAGATAAATAACCAATTATCTCGATTCGATTTAATCCCCGTCGGCTACGGCGATCTGGAATTTAAAACACGCATAGCGAGCTCTTAATTGGCATTTTATATTTAAGTAAGACTGCTGAAAATATATTTTATTATATTTGCGAACGCACGTTCGTCTAATAATAAGTAAAAGTATCAAACCTTGAGTAAATAAATTTTAAGGGCAATTATAAGAACTTATTGAGGACTGTATAGGTATCTGAGTATTAACTAAAACGTAAATATCAGCTGGATCTTTGAGGGAGGTCTGACTTCAGAAGTGCCGAAACACGTTAACAGTTCTATTAGCAAATCTTACCTTAATACGTGCAAAACTAAATCGCAAGATCTGAGAAGCACTGTCATTGCGCCCGTCTCTCTGTGATATAAGTTGACAAGTCCCATGTGCCTGTTATGTCACCAGCACTCTTACCCTTCAAAACCGAAACACAGTAATGCTGACATTACTGCTTGGCGGCAGAAATAGGTAAGGTGGCATCTACTACCCTGAACGAACTCGTTCACAAGGAGCTCTACTGCAACTAAATCTATCTACCTCCTTTGAACATTCATTCATTCGTTCATTAATCAATTCTAGTTAAAAGTGAAGTAATCAATAAACGTTCGTAATCATTTGCAAAGATAAACAGAAACGTTTCATCAAAATTAGTCGTGATTGTGAAAGTGAATGTAAATATGTGGAGATTCGTAGGGCGTGATCACATCACGCTTAATAGGCTAAGCGATTACGTCGACGCTGGGCGCGCCGTCGCCGCTAACCCAATTTACGCAAAACGACCTAGTAAACACACACTGATTCCGCTCTGATTTAAGTTTGCTTGTACATCCAAATCGAAAACTGTTTATATGACATCTACTACACGCAAAATACTAACGCTACTAAGTCGATATAAACCCACTATACAATTTTATGACATCTATAACATAAGTTGAACGATCTTTGCGCACTTCATCAGGATCAGTTTCAATCCTGTGCACAAACAGCCTAAATTATTGCGTAATATAATTTTTAATTTTTTCGAAGAATTCGTAATATAGGTACACAAAACTAAGTAAAATACGCTAATTTTACACTAATTTACATCGTCAATGAAAGATTGCAATGTTCAGTATGAGCTTTAAGGCCATTTTGAAAACTCGCGTAGTTTTTACTGCTTGCTATACATGGATTTTCCTATCCAATTTGCCCTGAAGCTGCCTTTATGTTATCTTTAATTCCTTTTAGTTGATATCTTCGTTGCTATCATCTGTGCAGTCCTGTAATACTGCATTGCACTGTGTCATTAAACAGCTATTAAATTTTGTTCGAATTATATAAAATGGATTGTTCGTTTTAGAAATTTACAATAGATATTTCTGGGAAGGGAAAATATTTTTAATTATACTAGACAGACATCTACTCCGAAATTTGATTAGAAAGTTACGGGAAAGTTCGACGTTTCTTGGGTAAAACAATAAAGGCACACAATTAGAAGCATTCAAGAAACTTATTTAAACTTACCTATTCTAAATGTTGCCTTGTAATATTAGCAGTCAATTTCAGTACTGTTTTATCGAAAGAAACCTCGCAAAATATTATTTTGATATGACCTCTAACGTTGCTTATAATATATTTTGAATTTTGTCTACTCTTAACTACGAAGACATTATCACATATATCCAGTAATTAATAGTCATTGTTTTGCCACAGCGGTGTGGAGGCCGGGCGTGCCGACGACGCCCCCGCCTGCGCCGGCGGCGCCTACGCCGATCCCGGGTGCCCCCCCGCCGCCGCCACCACCGCCCCCAATTTGGAGCCCCAGCAGCGGTGGTCCGTCGCCACAAGCACCTCGCAAGAGTTTCCGACCTGTGCACTTCGAAGAATCGCCACCCGCCCGCCGTAAATTTGCGGTAATGCTTTTTCATCAGTTGAATATTACTTTACTGTCGCCTTATCGTTTTCAACAATTCGTGACTGCTCTGCATGTGGCCATGTAAACTAATCAAGGAACAACTTTCATATGTGCATAAGTATACTCTTTGGTTTAACTCTAATCGTTGTAATTAGTTTTTACGTCCACAGAAACTTTGTGCCAAACATGAGCTTAATACAAGTTATGGTGCTAGGGATCTAAATAAAATTCCAATCGTAGAGTAAACTATAGGTACATCTGCAACAACGGTCTGACAGAAAGGTGAATCATTATAAGAAAATCTATAAATCACCTGTGTTTTTCTGATATTTTATATTCATTTATATTTTAATATATATTATAATTTATCTCTTTAACTTACAAAGGAGTTTATAATGCCTACCCGTAACGGTAAGAATAATTGAATTTTATGACGACAAGACTGAAGACTCTTAACTAACAAAGTAATATCAAAGGAAAAACTCTTAAAGTTTGATAGAATCCACAAGAAATATCGAAAACGACCTCAAAATTTGGTTTCTGTATTAATATTTTCAATAACTTTACGTAATTTGCTTAAAATATTTTGTAAGCACTGGTGCTTACAAAATATTTTAAGGAAATTACGTACTAATCTGGATTAGTAGTGGGATATTAAAGGATCTCTATCCAGGGTGTTACTAAAACGTTCGAACATATCTATCTAATTGTGCTTTGAAATTCGCAAAACTAAAACTTTGTTATCATCGAAATTCCGTATTGATTTTCTCTCTCTAGTCGTTACCTAATATCTGAGGGTCGTGGCCAGGTTTGTCTATCTATTTATCTACTTTCGAAACGGATGATCTACCAGATTTACCTGCGCCGGCAGCACTAGAGCTCCTTGTAAAATATTTGGTCCACGGAAGTACCTACTGCCACCTTACCTATGTCTGCCGCCAAACAATGATGTTAGCATTACTGCGTTCCGATTTAGAAGGGTACGGGTCCTGGTGAAATTACAGGCACATGGGACTTGTCAACTTACGTGTTAGGGTGACGAGCGCAGTGGCAGTGCCCCTCAGCTCTGAGTGGCACTGCAACAATTATGGACAGGCGTGCAGCTTACCATCAGGCGCACGCCTCATGCCGTCGATCTGGCTATAAAACATCTATAAAAACAGCCGTGTTGAAGCAACAAACGCTGGTTATATATCGAATCTAGTCAGATCGAAGGAATTATTGTTTGTTCGATCTTTGTATCAATAATAATAACAATAGTGGAGTATTTTCATAAAAAAGTTATGGGAGTAAAACATCATGATGTTCAATAAAAATAAAAATAAATCTCTAATAATTTGAAAAAAGCACTATAATCCCTTTACAATTACAACAAAAAATTATACATCAACTTGTCCTATTCAAAAATTTCCAGAGCGCCGAGCAGAACGGTGTTACCAGTGGATCAGAAAGCGAGAGTCGCCTTCGAACTTCGTTCAGTGCCCCTGCATCAGGGTTGAACTCCTTGGGTGGGTCGAGCAGCCGCCTTCCACGAGCGCAAAATCCTACTGTTACTCTGCTGCAAAAGGCACGGGGTAAGTCAATATTATAAACTTATTCGCTTTTCTTGCTCAGTACCACATCCTTGTAAATATTTAATTTCGCCTTTATCTCACTCTTCAATCTATCAAATTCTTATTTGAATTTTGCCAGTGAATTCAACTCCGCGCGAAGAACCTCACCCGTAAATAATATAATCAAAAAAATTCCCCATTGATTCAAAGACTCGATTTCTGTTCAAAAAGTATTCCTGCAAAGTTCGTTTGAATTTTAAATAAAGCTTCCGCTTATTGCATTTCACAAAGGTTACGTCACGGGAATACTTACTAGAAAATCCACAAAATTTCAAACGCAAAGTCTACTTTTGCACGTTAGAGAATTCGAGGAATTCGTGGCCTTTTGCTGCCTCCTACTTAGCTGCCTAATGAATGTTAAAGTGAAATTCCGTCACTTGAGTTCACCTTTGCTGAATCTTAATTTACGTCCACATTACGTTTGTTTAGCATTCATAACGCAAGTCTCAAGAGCTACTTAATCGCTTGCGGCGGCCTACATCACAGAATCGTGTTTTCACATATCTCCGTCATCATCGTTAATGAGATAACTTTAACTGGCACTAACGCGAACTGCCATTAGCTTGTGTTAATGATAACCAATACTGCCTCTCATGGCAATATCCAATTTGCTTACTCCTAGAAATGATCATTTCTTCTTAACGTGAGAACCTTGTTTCCGAACGAGGAAAATTGGGGGCCAAGTTGGTAATTTATTCAGTGGGCACACTTCCAGAATGACGGCTAATTGCCGACAAACATCCATTAATTGGTTTAGATATCTAAGCTCTTGACAAGTTACAAAGCCTCTACGAAATGTTGAAAAACCATAAATTGCCTTACTTTTCAGTCTCTTGGTGTTTATGTTGCTTTACAACAACAATAATTAAAGAGCTTTTGATTTGATTGTTTAGGTGCTCTTCGGTAGTAGTTTAGGTATTGAGTAGCTGTAGGTACTTTTCAGTGAAACGCTGATGGTGAAAGTTTTAACCAAAATGCTTATATCAGTCTAAAAGCGCTGAACAGTATACTAAAAGCGCTGAATAACAATCAACCAATAAGAGGGTTACTGTAAGAACAAAACAAATGTATTGCTATCTCGCTAGTACAAAAATACAGCCCGTGGACTTGCCGCGCGGAACAAAATTACCATCTCGGCGAGCAGACGTGACGTATGCTGCTACAATCAGTTAAGAATTACTATTTAAAACGAAAAGTTTCAACTTTCCATAAATTTTTCTTTGTCGAGTTCATCAAATTCAAACACAATAAAAAGGAGCAGAGGAAAAATTCCTAATCTTCGATTTGATTTTAGAGGTATAAATCCACTTTACAGTTAAAAATAAAATATTGTACGAGTAACTACACGATATATTCAAGCACAGACGTTAATCAGAAACATAAAACATTATAGTTTCCTCGATAGATAAAAATCACGAAAACATATCTAATTTTCACATTTTTTCGATTTATCCTCGAAATGCTACCGGTTATTAGGACAAAAATTAGATAATTAATTATATTTATGTCGTTACGTATTTTTTTAATCCCTTTAGATTTAGAGTTATTCCGCTAAAACAAATTTGGCACTTACGACATTTTTAACGATCTTCGTTCTTATGCCGATGATTTTTCAATCCTATTTCTGATGAAATCAAAATACGTAAGTTCTAAGTGCGCTTATGCATGAAAATAATATTTTTTATTTTACCGTTCAACATAGGTAAGTAATTCACAAACTTACCTTCGACAATTAGCCATCAATATTGATAATTTACTATGACGATTAAACAGCTCAGCCGCAAATTCTGGCAATGACCTCTCGTCTCAACGGAGTGATAGTGACTAATTTGTGAAACAATTATAAACTTGAAGTTCCCGTGACATGCGACAGGACATGTTGTCTTTTGCGCATTAAAATGTCGTAAGTGCTAAATTCTTTTTAGCGGAATAACTCTAAAACTAAATGGATTTAAAAAATCCGTAACGACAATAGTCGATCATGTATGAATATCATTAATTATCTAATTTTTGTCCTAATAACCTGTAGCATTTCGAGAGTAAACCGAAAAAGTGTGAAAATTAGAGATCATTTCGTGATTTTTATCTATCGAGGAAACTTTATAGTTTATTTATAGTTTTATGCTTCTGATTGATAGGCTTGAATATGTCGTGTAGTTACTCGTGCAATATTTTATTTTTAACTTAAAAGTGGATTTATTATTATTATATATATTATTATATATTCTAAAATCAAATCGAAGATTAGTAATTTTTCCTCTGCTCCCTCTTAGCGGAACGTGCCCGGATTGAAGCCGACAATTTGAGCATTGCTAATTTCCAGCTTGCACGTGAAACACTTGATTTCAAAAATAAGGGGAGTAAGGGGACAGCATACCCCTACAGTGTGTTTTTTTAATTGGGACAGTATGACGTCGGTCTGGACCGGTCATGGTATTTGCGCAGCAGTCTGCCTTTGAGAATTTACCTAGTATTTATTATGCATTTTCAATAATTATATTATTTTCATTATGTTCCTAGCTTCGTTATTTTATATTATAAACAATAAGCATTATGGTTTTTAGGCACTTATAATCACAGGTCAGGGTGACAAAGACAAAGAAAATATCTGTCCAGAAACGAATTCAAGAAGTTTTGGGTATAATAAAATGGCGCTGATGCAGAAAATCTACTGATTCATTATAGTTCTGTGTACAGAACTATACTCAATCAGTAGCGAATACCATAGACAATAGAATTTTGGCTAAATCTAAAAAGAGCCCCTTTGTGATATGGTTTATGAAATTATAATCACGCAAAGTCACACAGTTCTTTGTAAATAATTCTAATCCAGTTATGTAAATATTCCATTAATAAAGGATTGACATTGTAGCGGTTTTCACTCAAACTTCAAATATGGATCAATTCCCAAGATTTAAGACCCTGAATGTCTAGTTGAGAAGTTAGTTATAAAATGAAGTCATTCGTTCCAGTCTGATTCTTTGCAACGTTCCGAAAATCTGGTACAAAGAGTGTTACCCGTTCTCCAATTCAAATTATTTACTTTTATGGTTAGATTTTTTTATCACAAACTGGACACTCTGGAGTCCGAATGCTTTTCCTTCCATATTTAAAGCATACTATTTCGTGTGGTTGTTTACAATTCGTAAGAATATGGGAATTAGTAGTACATCTAAGACATAATTTTTTTTCCACATACTAGAGATACAAAAGCCCTAATGTATATTTTACGCACAAATATACTCCATAGGTAAACTCTGTTGAGCGCTATAACAAAGCCATCATGGCAACTGTCTCCACGTTCATGGGCGAGGGTCACAGTCACAGATTTTGGGATCTGAATATCCCAAAAAATCAATTTGCTCTCAATATTGCTGTTAGTAAGAGAGAATAGGTAGCTTGTGGTTCCCACAATGTTGATATCGACCAATCCGAAGATTTTTTGCGCCTAGAGACGAATATGCGGAAAATAGACTAAACTTAGAGAAAATTTCGATCATGTACAAAGTTCTTTAATAAAGTCGTATGATAAAAATTGAATTGTGGTCCTTATAATCTTCTGTCGTAAAAAGTATGACTTTAATGTTGGTGATATTATTCGGCGAAAAACTTATTATCAGAGTGACACGGGAAAACGATTCTCTAAAAAACTATTTCCTAAGCATATGAAACTTTGCATTAGGAAAATTGCATTTTGCATTGTGCAAAAATTTGCATTGGGAAATAACCTTTAATATATGAATTTGTCCATATGCACGGGTCTGGGCTCTTGGCAAATTAAAGATTTTAAATTGAGAAATAATACTTGTTAAATTGTACTAAAGTAAATGTAGAACATATTTTCTCTTCTAATATAATAATAAGTCTATTTTAATATGCTAAAACTATCAATTAGTATTTTAATTGAAAACGACAACGAAATGAATGCCTTGTCGTTTGGCTTCCCTAGAAAAATAAAAAAACTAAACAACTATCAAAAAAAGAAAACTCTTACAGAAATTTATGAGAGATATTTACTTACACATACACACATTCACTCATATACACATACACCTTCACATAATATGCAGACACACAAATGCGCATATTCTACTATAGTCCATTTGTTTATTATATTGTAAGTCGCTTCATTTAAAAAATATAGTAATTTAAAATTAATGTCTAAATGTATTAATACAACGGAATTCAGGTATAATATGTTATCAATATATATTTCAATTTGTTACATTGTTCTTTGATAAACAATATTTTAAGTCGCTTCGTTCTAGCATCGAATTAGTTTTTATATAACATAAAAAAATAAATTTTAATCTGACAAACTTTGTAATTGGCTATGCAAGTACATTATTCATAATTGTAAACCAAATTTAAAAGCTGTAAAATTTGCAAACAAATAAATAAATTTAAAATTTAGCGGTGTATTAACTCATTTTATTCAAATTGTACTTTAGAATTAGGGTTAGATATTTAAATACGTAATACGCTTAGAATAATAACGCATAGAAACCTAGCCCGCACACGTTAAGTGAGGCAAATTGAAGCGTTCCCAAAGGGCCTACACGAGCGGGCGGGCCTTCAGTGCTCAAGGTCAACTTGCACCGCGAACAGATCAACAATTTTAGCTAAAAATGACGAAATGTGCGGTAAATTAGTGTAAAAATACGTCAGACAAACATAAAATAGATACTAACATCACATTCCACAAGGAAGTAACGCGTTTCAACTTGTATTTTTATATAAATATTCACTAAAACCGAAAATTAACCTACTACTAAAACTAGCCTACATGAATTTGATTTTGGCCTCACTTGTGACAGTTCGTTTGATATGAAACTATCATTCTATGCGTTATTATTCTAAGGTAATACGTTTATTTGAATAAAGAAGTGTAATAAAAAATTTAAGTAGTCGAATACGACTCTATGGATTCAATGTTTACGGGTCGACGATAAGCGCGCGAAAATTACTTTTCATCGGGTTGCGCTGCGACGTATGGGTAGCCCGCGGCGAATGATATGTGCGGGTAGTGGAGAGTGTGGGTGGAGCCAACGTCAAAACTTTTTTGGCATGAGGGCTCTTATATATGTAATCAATGACGAAGGTAGCGTTAATACTGTAATTTTATGCTGATGGTCACAACAGTGGCTAAATGTTTTGTTTGGACGGCACCTTATGCAAATAGTTAGATAAATTTTTGTCGCAATTACCTACAGTTTATCGTGAAAAAGCTGTTGGTATTTATATGTATTAACCGGACATATATAATATGTGTACGATTTTCTCAAAAACTGCTCACTGGCGAATACAGGCACTTGGGACTTATCAACTTATGTGTCAGAGTGACGTGTCCACTGCAACTGCTATGGACAGGCGTACCGCTTAGTACCAGACGCACGACTTGCACGTCCCGAAAATTTATTCCCTAAAGTAATCTATAGTATATTTCTGGGAAGATATTAATATGTATTTTTCACTTACTTTCCAGAAGGTCAAATACCTAGAGGATCGAACTATCTGCAGCAGGAAAGAGACGGTGCTCGACTGCCGCGCGATCGCCCCTCACCACCTAGAGGAGATCCTGGTGAGTGTCAAAATACAGATTATTTAATTTTATATGTCATCGTCTTTACTAATATGTGTACGTTTTAACTTAACTATTATATTATTGTAGTATTATATTTAACTACATCCGTGGCCGAATGGTTACCATGCTGGACTGACACGCAGAGGTCTCGGGTTCGATTCCCGGGCCGGGAGAAATATTTGTATGGCATACATTTATTTCTCTCGTGAGTTGAGTGTAATTTGTGGTTGTCTATGTGTGTGTCCATGGCACTCGCGATACAGAATTTCACTATGCTATGAGTATATATGGGCTATGAGTAAGTGCGTTACATGAGTGTATGCGTTATATGTTTGCACTATTATTGTATTTGTATTAATATAAAGGTTCTTTAAGCTACCTTTTAGCACCACTAGGCAATTATTATTGATACAAACTGTCTGCTGCCTCACCGTGGCTACCTTATGAACCGAGCTGCATTCACGGAGTGAAGTTTTTAATAGCAGTAGAGCTCCATGTGAAAGAGTTCATCCAGGGAAGTACTGCCACCTTACATATTTCTACCGCCAAGCAGTAATGTGAGCGCTATTGCGTTCCGGTTTTGTAGGGTAAGGGTGCTGGTGACATTACAGACACAGGGACCTGCCAAGTTACATCTCATGGTAATGGGTGTAGTGGCAGTGCTCCTCAGATCTTTGCGATTTAAAGCTCTGAGTGGCACTATAACTGCTATAGACATGCGTGTCGCTTACCACCAGGTGCACGACTTATTCGTCCCGTCGTTAAGTATCACAAAAAAAATTATTTTCTCAAAAAATATATGAATATCATGGTAGTAAAAAACATTATGCTCTATATACCACTAGACAAATTAGATTCAGACAGGTCTCTAAAAAAATTTGCGCTACAATTTCTAACCTGGGTCACCATAAAAACAATTTTTAGGCGCAATAATAACTTTTTATTGTGATAACAATTTTTTTTTATTTTATTTGAAAATTCGTACCAATGAATTATTTTAAACATCTTTCCAGTGCATGCATTACGCAAAGAATACGCTAGCGAAGGAGAGGCGGACCGCAGCGACTTCGATCGTGGGAGCCTTCGGAAAATGGCAGATGCCCACAGAAAAGTAGAAGGAATCGGGCCCATTACCAAAGAAGGCATGCCAGTCACACTCAGATCTGTAAGTTGTTTGTTGAAATGGTGACACTTAGGGTGGGCGCCTTCAAATTAGACGCATATAGACGCGCTACAGTGACACCATTGTGGCGCCGTAGCCGCGGCACACCAATTTTCATACAATATTAAAGCGTGAAACACACAGTGAGCGGGTGCGGGTCGGGCACGGGTGGTGTAGGGACCGCGGCAGGTTTAATTCCGTGTGTTTAATTTATGTGGACGATAACACCGAGCGTGGGCACGGAATGGACGCACGCACGCACCCGCGCTCTGTGTATTGTCATCCATATAAATACACGGAATGAGACCCGCCTCGGTCCCGACCCGACACGCACCCGACTCTCTGTGCGTTTCGCGGTTTAGATGCGCAGTAGCAGCGCCACTGTCGTGACACGCGCTCGCCACTTTTACAGTCACATTTGCTCAACTAAAAAAGTATTACAGATTCGCGGCTGCCGCGTCATAGTTTAGCGTCTAAATGCAAACTTGACTTTTGATATCAATACTCGTGATCAAAGTAGAAGAGAACAGTTCTTCAAAATTCAGGTCAAGTGCCGGTCATTATCAATAGTTATTATTATTATTAGGTACTTTTTTACCCTTCCTTTTACTATGGGTATAAAAACGTAGAAGACTTTTTAAATTGTGCATATTTGAATTTTTCAGGAAGTCAAGGACCCTTCGAAATGGTACAAGAAAATGTACGATACAATTCATAAAAACAAATACGATGGTGAGATTTTCTTTTAATATATTTCTTTTTATTTAAATTGTATACTTCCAAATAAAATTTAAAAATCACTTATTTTCCTTTTTTCCTTTTCTTTTTAATTGAAAATTTAAATAAAATTAAGTGCTAGTACCATTGACTTACAATTATATGGACGTCGGGTCCGCGCTAAAAAGTGTCCGCACTTGTAAGGCGCTAAAATCGTATACAGAGCGCGACACTCCTCTTTAGTCTTCATTTGTTTTACTGACAGCGCGATACTACGATGACATTACAATTTAAATTTCGAATAGGTTGACTTGGGACATTTTTTTCGTGGTTTTTGTATTGACCCGTCGTTCATTTATTTGTAAGTCAATGGCTAGTACATTTTATTTTTTTCTTTAAAATTATTCGGTTGTAATATCATTCCCCAAAATTGTTACGCATTTTCTTTTTTCAGACGATTATGTGACTATTCGATACAAAAATCGCCGAGGTGATTATTATAGACTTTTCCAAATTTTCTCTTTGCATCGGTGGCTGTATAACATGAAATTCAAAATTTAACAACGCTTCATTTTTTTTGTAAATACACTGCTTTTCGTTACGTTTCAATTATCTTATATATGATTTTTTTTTTCATTTAGATATTCATTTTCACTGCAGTTTGTATAGAAGAGAAAAACCGCAATAAAAAATTAATAAGTAATCAGCTTTTAATAACAAGTCACCGTCACATAATAGTGAAACAAATAGCTTTTAATTTTTAGTATACAACACTAATCAATCCTTAAATATCTTCGTTTATTAATATTAAATTTAAATCTGGTAATAGTATGTATTTGACAATCGACTAACTTAAGCCTACAATTAGAACTTTTCACTTTATATATGAAAATAAAGCCAAATAATAAAAACAGAGACTTTGACTCTTAATTTCATATTATAAAAGCTAGTAAACGTTATTTCATTTAACCATACATCGTCATTTTTACACTATAGTTGTTAAAATTTGCAACAGCAAGAAATGATTGCACTTTAACGTGAAGTCCGCTTTACATTATTTCCTTTAACCAAAGTAACTAAATAAATCCACTATGCTTCTCACATTGACAGGTCAACCACCTCAACGTGTGACAAACAAATCACAGTACGCATACTTTGATCCTCGATCGGGATACCTCAGCGAACCTGAAGGAGGTCTCAGCAGACTGGGCTATAGCACCTGGAGCGACGCTTATGACAGTGACGTCACCACCGGACCAAGAAGACGAACTGCATCTATGCAAGAAGACAGAAAGAACGAACCCGTTTCGCCTTATTTGCCTAGTAATAAGTAAGTATTATTTTGACGTCGTTAAAAAAGTCCAAAGACCAATCAATTATATAAATTAGAGATCTGGGAGTTCAGTAATAAAATGAAGTGAAATGAAATTAAATTCAATTTGCCTTAAATATGGTTTATAAAAGATGGTACACATAGTATATAATAATAGGACAGGCCTCATATATCACCAAAATTGGCATGCAAATAATATATGGTCATTTATATTTTATAAAATAGCAATTTTAAAGCAATTCAGTAGTTCAGTAATACGACATTTCATAAAATTATAACCCGACCTTGAAATCGTATAGTACATTATATATATAAAGCTACAAGTTCTTACTCACTAATAGAAATAGAACGCATACTTCCCGATATGGTGGAAAAAAGATATTTATACCGTTGTACGCGGATTTCAAGCGAGATTCCAAAGCAAAGAATCAAATATGAGAAGACCTAAATGTGGAAAATATGAAAGAGTGATGTGTGATGTGTGATGAGTGACCGACCCGTAGGTGGGGTACAGGGCTCTTAATGTATATTGCTATATAAGGTAAAATGGTAGTAAACAGTCGAATATTAAAATTTACTAAAATTTTTGTAGTTCCTTTATAGTGTGAAAATTGTTATTCACTCTAATTTCTGTTTGACTGTTAGGAAAATGAACAAAAGTCATTTTAAATGATATATTATAGTTCTACGGAATATAAGAAACTTTAAACCTTCGACAATGTTAAATCATATAAAAATATAAGGAGACGTTTTTTACAACGTTTAATCTACAGGCGCAACTATACTATAAATGAAACTGATACCTACTATAAATTTAATCATAAATGCATAATGAATTTGATATTTAAGACAAAAAAGATGTTAGTTTTCATCACGAAATGCCCTCGATCGTTTGTACTTATCTGCCGTTAATTGCGTTAATTTACTATAGTTGTTTGCTCCAACGAGTATAATTATTAGCTAAAATATGGATAGCCCGTTTTGTTGTGTTCTTTTTATATTTTATTTCCTGTTCTGTATATTTCAGATATAGCACGTTAGCCTCAGCAAGGGCTAGTCAAGAAGTATATAAAAACCAGCCTGGGCGTATAGAAAACTATGTTCCTGGCAAATCTTCGGTAGTGGACAAGGAAGCTAAACAGGTATATAAAGTCATAATTATAGCTGCTTGGAACTTCCATACGTCGCTCCATTATTCGTATAATTACATTGTCATTATGAAACAACATGATTCACTGGAACAATCACATTTAAAAGTCATTACCATCATTAGTATGGAATATAATAACGACTCATTTCAACTAACAGCCTGAAGTCACAAGGAAAGCAACAAAAGTTTGTTTTTTTTTCTTTTTCTAGTGGTGGGACGAGGTCATGGACATTTTTGACGGGGTAATTTTTTTTCACTATTCTATGTGTGTATTTGTTATTGCCAGTTACTAACTTAAATTTACTTACTTAAACTTAAACATAATTAATTTATACATATAATTTATTATGTTAATGATTAACATTGTATTTAATTACACAATATTTTATATAGGTGCTATAGACTGGAAAATATAATGCCTACCCCCAGCGAATCAATATGAAATCGTCTCATGTCTATCTTAGCTTACAATAAAGTTGTATAACCATTTACATTTTTATATCAATAATTTGAAAGTATATTTGTAGACAACGGAGTACATATTCTATGAAGTTATTACTCTAAAAAAAATTTAATTTTTTATTTTTCGCTGACGATGGGCTTGCAATTTTGCTGCCTTATGTACCTACCTAATACCTACTTAAATTCTTAAAAATATATTGAACAATGAAAATAACTAGTTAATAATAAAATAATATCAGTATTATTAAGCGGTATATACTCTGTCACTGATCCACTAACGATATGTCCACATCGCTGCGGGTGATGGTGCACTAACAGTGGCTAGACGACAACTCCCCCCTACCTCCTTACACCACATTGCTCGCTCGCGCCATTCAGAAGAGCGTAAGCGTTTAACCTCTCTGCCTGTTGTCTTACGTCTTTATAAAGGGTACATCCATATGCGAAAATGTCGGCTGGTAAAAATATAGATGCAAATCATGTCGGAATGTCATCTTTAGCTTTTTAATCCATTACAAAGTTGTTAAAGTAGCAACGAATATTTCCGACGTCGTATTTGCCGGTCAACACGTTCACCTGTGGATGGACACTTACTAACAGTTTGTACAGAAAAGACTTAATAGAAAGTTTATGATTTTTCCGTGGTCCTCAGACGTGAGATGCGATTGTCGCTGGAAAGCTATTTCGGACGAAAATCCTAAATGCGATTCAGACATTCAGTGTTCAGTGTAACCGCTGTAATGGCGCGTCTGAAGCACTAATAGCACCTATTCATCTCGCCAGGTCTCTTCTGTAAAAATTGAACCATGATGACGCCTGTATGCACGAAGCACGGTTCTGACAAAGTATAATAAGACAAGTAGTCCAACTCTCGCCTGTTCAACGTATCAATGCCCACTGCACGTCACGCGTAGGGTTGTCACATTATTATTTGAATTGTACCTACAGTTTGTAAACATTTCGAAAAAAAGTATTTATATTTGACGAAATATTATTTGCATCGGTTGTTCTTATCGCAACACCTTTAGATTACAATAGAACAAAAGAGTGAGCTGTCTCGGTAACGCACGTGCCATATGTGTAGTACAGACAACTAGTTTAAACACTTTTAGGCATTGGCACTTAATTCTAAATTTGATACTCATTATGCGGAACTAACTTTTTTGAATTAGTAAGGGAAGAGTGGGCAGTCAGTATTTTATAAAGTGGGTACTTACGATACGGATGATTAAAGAAATAATTCAAAACTAGAATTCAGAAAAAGCATTTAGCGCATCCATGACTCGTACGATGGACCAATAAATTAAAAAATATATAAAGTACGATAAATAAAACGTCATTATAAAAATGTGACGATAGATAATCGTAGCTTTAGACGATTCTGTCGTGTAAACGATAAGGCGGCTGCCGTGAACCGATAAATTATCGTCGCAATCTAGTGGGAATAGCTAGACACGACCGTCGTTCAAGGATAAAATGAACGTCCACGACAGACAGTCGTGATATGGGAATAAGTTACACGCGACTGTCGTCTAACGATAAATAAATACGTTACGACATAATTGGAACGCGTCCTTAACGATTTTATTATTGTATTGTAATAGAAAGGATAATCTGTTCCAAGAGATAACATTCATCGGTGAAAATTTATTTTTTCAACTATACCATGGTACTCGAATGTTGTATTGAAATAACCTTAGCCAAATATATTATTATTTTTATACCAGCAGCAGCGGATTGGCATCTCGATTATGGGAATATGATTACGAAATAGAAATGAAAGACGACTTTTGTATATAATTACGGTTCATTTATAAGTAAAAAAAATATTAAATTGACACAGAAAAAAAATTTGTTGATTACAATTTGTTTTGAAAGCTTTATTATTTGTATGTATAGTAGGGCACTCTTGTTCAAATAACCCGTCTACTATTTGGTAGTATTTATCACCGAAAACACTCTTGAAAATTCTGTAATGAATGGCGCGTGTTACTCGCGCTGTGCAACGTGAGTGTCGCGCGAAATTATGCGAATGTGTGCGTCCAGGGCGAGCACACATACAAGCCGCGCTGCTATGTTTATAAGGAGTTACACTACTTGTTTTATTATACTATGGTTCTGATGATGTCTCTCTCTTAATTCTTATATGTGTTGTTTACTTTTCTATAATACTATTCTCGGTGCGATGTTAACCTTTCCTTAATTTATAATATTGACAAGTTTCGTGTGAATGGCCCTTTTTTTATAAAAATTTAAAGACCACATTTGTCGCTGCAGGTACAATGCTATGTTAAGCTATAAGTTCATTATGACAAGTCTCCTGTTTTGATTTATCCGTTTTTTATAGAACTTATTAAAAGAGGCGTGTACAAAATACCACTCTAATATTTGTGCTAGCATGACGTTACCAATAATGTATATATGTAATACGTTTGCTGTGTGCGCTAATGTAAATATCTTTAAAATAATGCTTAAGCATGTATTGTACAGTTTTACCAAAGTTGTGGAAAACGAAATGGTAATATCTAAATGAAGAAATACATTACATTTCTATTTTGCAGCAAAACGTATCAAGTACAACATCGTTACCGCAAGGGTCACCTAAGGAGAAGAAAGATCTTACATCTGCAATATTATCGAAATCAAATATGGCAAGGTAAGCACCACAGATTACTGTAATGTATACTTAAGATATTGAATTGTGTACGAACCCATTTCGTTCAAAATACTTAAATTTACTGACCCTACTACTATTACACATCGTATAGCTTTGTGTTATGAACACACATACACCTCTGCATCTAACACCTTTCATTACCCTAAAACACATAATTCTTACTTTACATCGACCGTACTCTATAAGGGTGCGTACAGATATAATGCGCCACGTGCGCTACGCACGCGATGCTCGCACCTGCACGCGCTGCATACATACAATTGGATTACATGTTATATGTGGCGCGTACAGATCGCACAACGTAATGCTCGTGTGCAGCTCGCGAGCCATTCGCAAACAGGCGCATATGCGGCGCATTGCCAGATATGTACGCACCCTACACTGAAAGGCGCGTCGACCGCGCGTTTCGGTGTGGTAGGGTTCATATAAACTCGTACATTACAAAAATTCCCGCGCCCGGAACGTTTCCGCAGCCGCCTCTGTGTGGCCAGAGCATTGTAGAAGAATATATGGGTGTACAAATACATGTAATGTAAAATAATCAGAAACAGAACCAAAAACAACTGCAGTTTTAAAACACTAACAGAAAATTACTTTTCAGGGCTTTAAAAGAATCAGGTTACGAGTCAGATTCAACTTTAATATTTAAACGAAGAGACGAAACTGAGGCGCCATTGTCACCTGCAGAGAGACGAGCTGCTTATAGAGATCTTCAGGCTGGTGGAGAACCGCCTTTAAGAGGATTCCGATCACCAGCTCCACCTAGGCAAGGTAAATTATGTATTGTTTTTTTGAGAACTAAAGCTGTTTCTTAAGTACAAGTATAAAGAAAAACGATTTTTGAATCACTGTAATGGTACGAATGTATCTACTTTAAATTAAACGGTTTGGTTATGTAGACAAAAATACGTTACAATTTTAATAAAGGAGTCTTGTGTAATAACGGAAAGAATGTCGCTTTCTAAGGGTCTCTACTCAATGCTCAAGTCAGGATTTGAGCAGACTTGAGTATGATTTCAAGCACTGGAAATACTATTGGCAAGGACTAAAAGCTTTTGGCATATGCCTGTATTTATTATAAAGTCTAAATTATTGGTAGTTAAATTAAAAAGAATTTCGTCGAATGCTAGCATTTAACAGCATGGTTTTAGTATTACATATATCTTTTTATTTAATTTGGTGTCGGTGTATAACACATAATTATTTATAAGAAAAATGTTTTGGACATAATATCAAACTGAAGAACATAAATCGTCTCGTTGTGATCTAGATCACTAAACACTGGCTCTATTAAAAAAAACTGGTCAAGGCCAAATACATTTTTCCATGTATCACCACATGGCCTACCATGTGGCAATGTATAACGCGAGCGCTCATGGTCACACTATAATGACTGTAACGATCCTCTCTAACCATGCAAACTGTAGTTTAAAATCACGTATATCTGAGGTAAGTCCATATTTCTAAACTAATACACTGCATGTTGATTTACTCTTCATAACAAGGTGCTGGGATCCTGGCTGCGTATCAAGGTAAAAATTGCATGACAGACAAATAGACTCCAAAATTAAACAAGCACCGCATAGTCCTTTTTACACGTATTACTTGCAGCACTCAGTAGAACCACGGATAGTAAACGCAAGAATGCTTTTCAGCGTCACAGAACATCGCAGGAGCACAAAGTCACGTTTGTATCACGGCTAACGAGCACAAGAAGAATGTGCCACTGAACAACATTGAATTTCCACAGACGAAGCGGAAATTGAGTACATTCCGATTACTTCAACGTTGACGAAGATAAGAGTCCATAAGAAAACACCCCAGCTACATGAAGTTATATGCTATCCTGTGACTAACAGCGAAGTGGGTGGAAGATTTAAGAAATACATCCCATCTTTCATAAGCGTTGATGTACCAAATAGAGCGAATGAGAATCCTCCTGCGCCACCGAGAAGAATTTCATCGAAAAACAGTAGAACTTTGAAACTGGTGACTTCAACACGGCCTGTATCCAGCTCGCCAAAACGAACCCCGTCTACAATACAAACACGATCTAACGTTGATTATCTTAGGGACAAGATAAGTAACAAATTGACCAGACAAAACACACATGTTATTACGAAAAGGGGCTCTGTACCTGATACCAAACTGAGTGCCAATCTGAAAACAAACAAATCTCGTGTCATGTCAACTTCAGCACCGCCAGCAGTTAACAGAAAAACTGTAATTACATCTCCAAAAACATCCCTTAAAAACACAACAGTCATGAAAACACACGGAACAAGCAGTTTTGGCTCTCCCAGAAGAACTGTATTACCAACAGAGTATAACACTATCAACAGTAAATATGGTGATTGTACTAATTCAGTAGTAATAGAAGGAGGGGCTGGAAGGAAAACGCCAATATCGAATATATTAGATAAAGTTACTTCTCTTGATAAGTTATGGAGTTCTGAAAAACGTAATGAGCGTATAGATTTAACTAAAGTAAAATCGAAATCTATTTCAAGAGGAATCACTGGTACTGCATCAAGCGGAAATAGCAGCACCAAGTCGACTATACTAAATTCTAACATTAAATCAACATCGCCAAATGCAGTTCATAAAAGTAGAGATATGATTCGTACCGCCGAAAAATTACAAAAATTAAGAATTTCCAATATTCAAGCAAAGTCAAATCCTTGCCTAGCGACAAGAGGAGAAACCAAACCATCTAAATCACTCCAAAGTTCTGCAAATATGTCAAAATCAACAATTAACATTGCGTCACCTGCGAAAAAGCAAAACCAAATTAAAACAGCGATTGTAACAAATTTGAAAAAGAAAAAATCCTTAGAAAGCGTTGTCATGAGACCACGTAGCGTGCCGTGTCACGAAGCATGCACAAAAAAATCTAGAGATGCAAACAAAACCGTAAAAAAAGTTTCCAAAACAAAAAGTACCAAAAAGACAACCTCCAAGTCATCCAATGATTCTGAATCCGGTAGTCAGTTTGGCGACATCTCAAATGAAATTTCACGTTTTGAGTCTTTTGAGAATATACGCAAACAGAAAATTGGCTCGAAGGAAATAAAAAGAACTCGAGATGCAGTTCTTTCAGATTCTTTCTTTCAACATCTATTCCTTAGAAACTGCTACTATCCTAGCGCGTCGTACTCTCCAATAGAAGCTAATACATCAGTTTTGCAAAAAGCTAAAATGTTCCAATCGTTTCCTCAAGATAATACTGCCCCAAGATCTTTAAATACTTACTTAATTCATCGTAAACCTGTTTCACTCTCTCGGTTCAAGCTCTGGGACAGGTATCCAAGTCCGACCAGCACGCAGAACCCAAGATCGGTGTCATGGCCGGGTAGAACACACACAAATGTGCGTAAGTTTGATAGCTTACAGAAATGTGAGGAATTTGGATCAACTTCGTCATTAGCTACTGTGCGAAGTAGGAGTGAACCACCAATTAATAAAATTTACTTCTCACAAACATCTCGTCCAAAATCACCAACTATCGTATTTTTTAAAAAATCTAGAGATCCTTCAGTTACGCGACAACCATCTCCCCCAAAAATAATCTTTTCTCAAACTTCACGACCTGTGTCACCCAAAGTTACTCGAAAATTAAAAAAAGAAGCTTCACCCCAAAGAACTCAGTCACTGTCACCAACGAAATTAATATTCACTGAAACAATTCGACCTATTTCACCCATAGTAACTAAACGTACAACTCCTAAATCAGAAGTAATAGAAATAAAATGCGAGGAAGATAGATATCCAACTACAATATTCTTTTCTCAAACAACAAGACCAGTTTCACCAAAAGTTATAAGAAAATCTACTTCGGCAGCTAATAGTAGAAGTCAATCGACATCACCTGTGTCGGTGAGATCTCCGTCCTATCGTCGTATATATAATGCGAGATCACAAGGCAGCAAACATGCGGATACAACAGTAAAAAGTGTTATTCGAACTAGAAGTGCTGGTGATGCAGACAAAAAAGCACCAAAAGATATTCTATCAATAAAAACCAAAAGTGCTTCAAATTTGTATACAACAGATCCCGATTATGAAGAATACGTTCAAGACATGCAGAATAATAAAATTAGATCAGAAAGATTTCGTGAACTAAATAGATATTACGCTTACCTGGAAAGGGTCGCAGAATTGGAAAAGACTACATCCACTTGTGACTTGCGACATAGGAAAAGGGACGAAGAAATAATAGATTTTGATCGTTGGAAAAAAATACGAGCTATAGAAAGAGCTGAAGAAGAGTTGAATAACCTGTATCTTAAATTAAGAATAGCCCAAAATGAGAATGATGTTTTGTTCTATCCCAGAGACCTCAAAGATTTTCGATGGAACTATGACAGGGATAGGGGATTAAGAGTAAAAGAAAAATCTGTTGAGGATTTGAAAGATCACTTTCAACAAATCCCTCACTATGATTCTATAGACGCCGATCAACCAAAAGATACTTATAAACCTCTGTGGAGAGGAACCAGTGTTGCAGAAACAGCTTTTAATATTAATAGAAAAAATGAAACTGATAACATTGAACCTCGATCCTTTGTCAAGCCTGTTTTAACCTTACATCAGGAATCGTCTTTAACCGAGTTACGTAAAAAAATAGGTCTAGGAAACCGTTTATGGAGCAGTTTGTCTTTAGAACAGGTGAATGCATTGAAAAACCAACTAAATGCAATATACAGTCGAGAATTAGAATGCAAATTGAACAAAGATACAGAAAATTATTTTGTAGATGTAAATGATGAAGCAACAAAATCTCCTGGTAGCAATTTACACGTCAGATGTAATTCTTTGATTACACCACCACATTCACCCGAAACTCAAGACAAGGAATTAACTAAATCCGAATCAATAGCTGCTATTTCGTGCCCAATAACTTCGGTAAAAGAATTAAAACACAATGTCAATGAAATCCAAATGAGTCTCAGTGAAAATGAAAAGAAAAAAATATCTCAATCTATAAGCAAAGAGGTGTTGGGGAGAATAAACAGATTTGAAAATACTGCACCGCCATCTTTGAAACAAGCGGTGGAAACCAATGAAATAAAGAAAAATGGACTAAAACTCACTGAAACTCATAAAAACAATACAGAATCTTCATCGGAAATAAAAAAAGAAATACCTCACGTAGACAACGAAGGAGAAGATGAAAATTTAAGACATACTGTTTACCCCGTAGATAATACCCATGACATACAATGCAAGTCTTCTGCAAGTGAAACAGAAACAGTAAGTTCCGACGTTTCAAATAAAACTGTAATATATAGAGAACCTAAAAAAGATGTTAAAAAGAAAGTTGAATATTTTGAGTCAGTAAAAAATCAATCAAGCACACAAAAAATAATTTACCATGCTAGAGAGGGTTCAGATGAAAAAGCCAATCAAGACAAAACTGACAGTAAAGTGTCCAAACTACTTGAGATAAAGGATATAGAGAATAAAGAGCCACAGAAAACAATAGTACAATCACAGTCTTGCACAAACATTAAGGAACTTTTCGGAGAAAGTGAAAAAAATAAATTTTTGTCTCTTCCATCAAATTCTGAACTATATTCGAGGTCCCCTTCACCCTACTCGGAAGTGTACGTCGCCGATCGACGCACGCCAGACACGCCACGGTACTCCAGCGATGAAACGATCTGGCGCAGTCGAAGCCCATCACCCGACCCAGAGCGGTATTGGCGCGCCTACCTCAACCTGGCGCGAGCGGGTGAGGTACGTCGCCTCGCGCGCCGTTTTGACTCGCCTTCGGCGGCAGGCGCTGTGCTGCGTCGGCATCGTAGCGACCCCGAAATTGCACGTAACGTGCTGCGCAGTAAATGGTCTTCAGAAGAAAGATTGGCTCAACGTCGCGACAAGTCGAAAGGAGTGCTACCTGTAGCGCGTATGCCTCTTCGGCCGACAAACCGATATATGCCACATATAGATGTTATATCGAAATTGGCTACTCTTAGAAAACGTACCACTCCACGTTCTAGATCAGCTGAAGAACCTCCAGAATGCCGGGCTGGCGAAGTAGATCGCATTCGACGAAGATTCGAAGCTATGTCCATTCTTGGCCAAATATACGCTTCCGCTCCCGATGTGAGTGAACTTCGTGACATTGCACCGTACCTTGCAGGGCCCTGGACAGCACATCGTTATCCAAAGCGTAGCGATAATAACAGGTCAATTAAAGATCCGACAGCTTTAGTCCGTGGGCGTACGTCACCAGTTAAAAGAGAAATTAAACGCTCTAGCTCTAAGGCGCCTGTGAAATTGAGTTCTATTTTAAAGAGCGATGTATTCGCAAAGCAAGAATTTGATCCGTCGGTGCATCGGCCAGCTAGCCGCTACGAGCCGCCCCCCGCGCCGCCGCGACCTCCGCCCGCTGCGTGGCCCTACCGCCTCGCGCCCTATGTCACGCCATCACGACACACGGTCACATTCCAAGGTTACTTTTACTATATTTTTCTATGTCATTAATTTTACTCAGTTTGTTTAATTTTGGAGTTCATGTACATATACCAAAAGAAGCTTCTCTCGTTCAAGATTTATTGATAATCGTTATGTGTTCCATTCACCGTTCGTGCTTAATGCGTCGCGTGATTACTTATTATTGTGATGTTTTGAATTAATTGGTTTTTGTTACTTTTTATGTACATAAATATATCGAAATCTGCAATTACATAGTAATTACATACTACAATTATTACATTATACGACTAATCAATATTTCTTGTTTCATAGCCTACATTTTTTTTATTTTTGTTTGTTCCTTTATCATCCTGTTTTGTTATACCCTGGTAGAGACCAACTCAGCCCCGGAGCCACCACGACGAGCATTCTACGGAAGTATATCGGATACAGGCAAGTATCCTTATATATTATCATAACACAATATCTAACTTTAATTCATTACTTGTATAGTCATCATCAACGACATCTTCAAGATAATCTTGACCTACTTTGTTCACATTATATAAGTCAACACAATCACCAGCTACTTTCCTTCCTAAAATCTGAGAAACAACTCAACTCGTGAGAGCTAGCACGCGCTTCAATTATACTTACATTATCTGTGCGAATAAAAAAGAAACAATGGTTCTTTGTTCAAAACAATCGGCCCCTAACTTATTCATCTGAGCCTGACCACCGCCGCGATCATACGTGGTCTTGAATCAAAGTAATAAAATGTAAGACAAATATATTCCACAAGAAATTGGTCAAAAACTGACAAAAAATTGCATCACAAAAATGTAATTCGCGTCGTGATATTGTTTCACAGCAATGATATTTACATTTTGCCAATACAAAAAGTGTATTCTTTATCTGATTAGGTATGGGCCTCTAAACCGCGAATTTGCGTCATTCAAGTTACCAAAACCTGTTGGTTCGGTTTTTATCGAACGTCAAATAGTCCATCTAACCTCGTATTCGCGACCGTGTGTTGATCATCAGGAATTTTTATTGTGTTGTGGTACTAGTGCAGCCAATGCAGATATTGGTCATAATTCTGTACAGGTATGGTGAAGCACATTATCTACTAATATTGATAAAAGCCGCTATCTAGGCATGTTATCTATGTACTTTTAGTGTAGTGCCAGCCATCTGAGTATGAAGATGGAATGAGTGATATATTTTATAACCTGTTATATAGTGTTTAGTAAATATGGGTGACAAAACAAGTAGCGCAACAAACACCGGAATCACTAGCCATACCAAGGACAAAGACATTTTCAATGAAGACTGTGAATTTTTTAGTGATGTGCCCTTGTCTGGTTCTTTATCTAAGTCACTATTAGCCTTAAACAAGTACGTGAAAAAGAATTTACTTTATGACGAAGAAGGCGAACACAAAGATGATGGTAAGGACGAAGCGTACTTCTCTAAAGAAAGCAGTCCAAATGAATCGGTATCTAAAAGTGATTCAGAAAGTTTAAAGAGCAATGAGTCCTTTGATAACAAAAATCAGAGACTCTACGTTGAAGTAGTGACGTTCAACGAAATTCTTGATTCGCCTAAGATTGAAATAGAATCTAATTATAAGGAAACTGTATATAATGTAGATCAAACCGACGACTATAAATCAATGCAGCTGCTTGAAAAAACTGAAAACGCTGAATCAACTACTGAAATAAATGATATTCACGTAACTAGACCGCTCGTACAACACAACTGCGCTTCCCTAAATGACTTAACTAGGGCCAGTACGTGCGAGAACGAAAATTACGAAAAAGAAGTAATACTTCGAGAAAAAAACAGTGATGTAAAAAGAGAGGAAAATCGCCACACCGTGCATGATTTTACAGAATGGGGAAATAGAACAATAATCTATCCGGATGTTTACGCACCGCTCCCATACAGTGAGTATTGTTTACTATTCAAAAGTTATAGAGAAACAATATTCTACACTTCTCTGACAAGCCACACTCATTGTCAAAGCAACTCAAATCTGTAGTCGTTAATCCACAAAAATGAATGTGATATTGTATTCTTGATGAGTGGGAATGTTTCATAAGGAATTACGTCATGTTTGCTATAGTAAATGCAATAGATAGCTTTATCAAGCGCGTGGACGGTACGCGGTGTTATGCGAAAGTTGCGCGCGCGCCGCTTGCATTTGGCGGGAGATTTGAGGTAGTGGGCACGACCATGACTCGAAAGTCTGCAAGTGCATCTGATCTATAGTAGTGGTCGAAGAAAGACGTCGCGGTCGTGACAAACGTAAGGACTTGTTTCTGTGCTTGTTTTGGTGACCTAGTCAGTGCGGTGTAGTGATAACGATGGGTATCCTTAAGCAGATAAAGAAGATAACCTCCCATGGTTCGTCCTGGTTTTTGTTTAATACAATATTATCATTGCATAAATGTTTGATGTAATATTTTAATCTTACAGTAATAACGAATTTTGCAATAACCATGAAGTAATAATAATAACAATATTGTTCTATTTATTAAGTTAAATCTGTTGAAATACTGGCTATAGTATACCTCGTATTCTGTATTCAAATTTGTATTGTTTTATATACTCGTATTTCAAAAACTTGCTTTTCATGTCGCCATTTCAAATACTATCACTAACTAGCAAAAACAAGGTTTTCCCTATTTTTTTACACGAAAACACCACAAAATCAAGTCACACTCAGAAATTGTTTGATACTTTCCATTAGTATTGAAGTGATATTTGTATAATTATTTTTCTATTTTTTTTTTTGTTTTAGCAGTATTTATTTCTATTCATTTTATTTACTTCTCTATACGTATGACAAGAAGATTATGCTACTGTTTAAGTTTACTGAATGAACCTAATGATAGGTACTTTACATAGGTTCAAACATAATGAACTCGCTTTTCTTCAATTATTAAACAGAACCCATCAAGTGCAAATAGGTTGGCCGCGCAACGAGGGTTCTGTACAGTAACAATATTGTAGAGATCGTGACCATAATTTGATACGTTATGCTTGATTGGCTAATAATGAAATCTGTTCGTTCATGTCGTATAAACTCTTGCTTAATTTATGTCCTAATCAGAATTTTTGTCATATAGATAATTGATCGAGTTCTTAGATTTTCGCGATCGTTACATATAGGAAATAAAACTTTTTTTAGGATTTAAATTGACTGATTGACTGAGGTGATACAGTCGTCAACCAGTTATGTCTAATATTAATGCAAACCACCCTATTATTTTCCACTATGGCTACAAAAGTTATTAATTAAATACCTTATTTTTAATTTTACAAACAAACATTCCAATTTACGTTACATTATTTAAATCCGGAAAAATGGTTTCTTCCTAAATAGATAATTTACCAGACGTAAAATGGTTCATCTTCCGGTATTTTATGACTCACAAAAACTAGGTCAGTTCTTAAGTTGCATTCATATTATGCCGTATTTAATTGATAAAATCTTCAAAACAACTTTCGACTGTTACTGTATCATTCTGTCTCGTTTTCAATAACATCTTTTCAACATTAATGAATTTGTTTTTCCAAATTCCCTAGTATCAAAACGAGTAGCTTACATTTCCCTATTATATCTTATTGTTTCTTGTATAGAAGAAAAAAAAACTCGTCTATTTAAAGCTAGAAAGTTTTAACATGGCTCTTGCCTCGAGGTATCGTGCTCAGGAAGCTATGAGTTAAGCTCATGCTTTAACGGAAGTGTTTGCCAGCCCTCTAGTCACTGAACGCTTAATAATCGTATTAGTGTATGTGTGTTACATTTATTTAATGCCATGCAAATATAATTAATTAAAAAAAACATTGAGTAAATATAGTATATGGACGTTGGCATTCATACAAAAAAGTCTCAATTGTAAGTGACAAATTGACCAAACTGCGTAATGTATTATTCAATACATTCACTTCCAATTACTGTAATTGACTTGCCGATTACTCGCAAAATGTTAGATAAAGATTTTTTAATTATAGTACTACTGGATTCCTGCATACTTCTGTTTTGTTAACGACTATTACACAACCAGTAATGATTTTAATGTTTGATTTTACGTTGACGAAATAAAAAACTGGACCTTCCGCTATTGTGGAATTTTCATGACTTACAATTTGCTCATTGATGTCGATCGATACTATCGCAATCATTTTAAGGTTAAAAGTATCTTGTCAGCTGTTACTTGCGTTGTTAAATACATTCAAACAAATATTGACTGTGCCGTACTGTCGCCAAAAGAGTTTACTCTACCAACTCGGCGAAAGTCCAAACTTTTTCAACGCTCTTTCTCTACGTGACCAAATTAAACCTTCAAATGCCCACCATTTGCAGATTGTTACAATTTTTACTTCAAGTTAGCACTCTCGGAAAAATTTCCTTTTTGAAAATATCCACTTGTTATTACCAGCAGTTCTCTAGTAAAGCAGTGTTTAGAATGTCATTTACATTTATCAAACAATTTGTTTATAATATTTCTAATTATTTAGTCAAACATCACCGAGAAAGATTGCTTGCAAAGAAATGCCAATGAAAGCCAAAGCTTAATAAAATGCATGAAATTTATGGAAAATATTTTTACAATGCAAATTAACTATTAACGCGAGAAACCTTTACGATCTGTGATCGTAGTAGCTTTCCACGATTCTTGTAATCGACTTCTACATCTATCGGAAATTAGAAATTGCTTTCTCAGTAGTCATCTATCATTAAAATTCCCCTGTGTTTAGATTTACTCAGAAGATATTGGTTTGACAACAGTTTCATTATAAGAAAGCGATAACAAGCATTTTGCAGAATCAGTTGTTTTTTGTTTAGTATAAGAAAGTTTAAAGCTTTTTGTATTCAAAAAAATATCACTTTCTAGTAAAAAATGTCATTTATTAGAAAGTGATTAATACCAAAAGATATAACAAGAATCACAATACTTCAATTTGTTACTTAGGCTGTAATCAATGATAAAAGATTATACATATCAGTAATTTTAATATATAAATTCCTAAAAACAATTATCAACTGGATCGGTCTCTCTATGCAAACTAAAATTAATTCAAAAGTAAAAAAATACCACACTTCTGAGGAACTGTATGCTTGTCTGTAAGTATATACACAATGCAAGTTCACGAGTGTCGTAAGCGCGTGCCAAGAATTACTTATCTTGTGAAAGTTACCGAAAGGGCTTTCGATTCTCCTCAATAGGACTTACGACTGTCCGATACTAAGTAGTTTTGTTACATTAATTTATATGTTACAAGGGTATCTCATACAATACAAGGGTATATCTATTATTGTTTGTACAAATGAATTAGTAGGTATGCAAAATACGTTTAAGTTGTGGTAGCCTACCGGTTTGACCTACCGCCTCTCAAACAAAGGCCGTGAGTTCGCATCCGAGCGTACCTCTTAGTTTCTCGACAGTTATGTGCGAAACTTAATTTGAAATTTACAATGACATTTTCGGTGAGGTAAACCGTCGTGATGAAACCTGCACGAAGAAGGTTCACAACTTTCGGAAAACTCATAAAGTAAATAAGGTGAGTAAAAAACCCATGCCCAGAAGTGAGACGTACAAATGGGTGGGTTCAGTTTTAACTAAGTAAAGTAAAAATTGAGTATTGTGTGACTTTTAAGAAATTGTTATGCAATAAGGGTTATAATATGTCTAATGCCTAGAAAGTTAAAATCTATTCAATGTTATTTTCGTTTTATCACGTGAAAGTTAACGCATATTTCGTCAATATTAATAGAGAAGCACCTATTATTAAAGTTTGGTTTTAAGACCATCTTGTAACGTTACGACTTCCTCTGACAGTTTTCTCGTAAACCGGTTCCGCTCGCCATGGACTATTACGTCTCGTCACATAATCAACGCGTTCAAAATATCGCCGATCGCCACGTTACGCCATTGGCGATGCCATAACTTAAAAAATACTTTCACCTACACTAAAATTATTTTATTTAGGTAATATCTAATACACTTACACGTAAAAACTTAACATGTGAAAGTTGTGAGTAATTTTTATATTTACATTTTGTTAATTACTTTTGCTGAAATAAAAGAATTAGGTAAATGAAAAATGTAAACAACGTAGGTACAACAACAATACAAATACTCGTTGTTGCACACAACAACAAAACGCAAAATAGGTACAAATAAAAGACAAATACAGGCATACTATATCTATTTTTGTCAATTACAAAGTAATTTTCTTAGATCTGTGTGTTACCTAGTAGGTGTTGCGTGCACGTGCAGCATTACTACAAAGAAAATGAAATAGTGATATCGATAAAAAATCCTTTTGGCCTTTACAATTACGCAACCCTTTATTTACTTCGTTTGCTTACGTACCCTGTTCAAACAAAAACCTGTTCTCCCTTTTCTCTTCTCGACTGAACGCTTCGCTAAACCGTGTGTTTGTGATTTCTAAATGATACATAATGCAGTTTCCTACTGTATTAATTCACAAGCACATGTGATACCTCATGCGTACCTATTAGCGTATTTTGAAGAGGTTTTTCGAACAACTCTATAAGCTATACCAAGAAAAATTATTGTCCAAAGACAATTGACAAACGAATGCGGAATATATGTAATTTATCGATATTCGATAAGCATATCTATCCAAAAATCTTTCATATGCCGTGTCGTATGTTTATCAAATATAGTTACTCATTATGACGTTACTAATAAGATATATTTTCCATAGAATCTCCGAGGCGATACGTGGAGAGCGATGTCAATATCCACTACCGGTGCCCGGTGCGGCACGATCCGCTACCTCTGGTCCCCGAGCGAGAGCTGGCTCGTCAGCAGGCCGAGCACATGAAGCGGTTGTACAGAGAACAACGCCGGAACAAATACCTACAGGCAAGTTTTTTTCCTATACTTTTTTACAACAGCAGTGCAACACTCTTTTTGCGATCCATGTCGCTACCTAGTTTAAGAAATACGCTCAGTACGGTTGACGATCGTCGAAGGAATGGTTACTCGAACCGTGGTAATGAAGATGACTTGCCGCACGAATTCGCATCACGCCGATTCGCAGTTTTGTGTTTCGACCCGTAGGCCTAATTCACACTGGCGCAGAGTCGAAGCGTCACGTCACGTCCTGTTTTTCAACTACAACGAATGGCGACGCGCGACGACGCTCGCATTAACGCGCCCGGATCACAGTGCTGAACCAGTTCAGAGACTTTTGAACATTCACTGCGCGCAAGTAACGCACAGCGACGCGCAGTGACGCGCGAAACCACTCGACTTTAACCAAGCGTCGACGCGCGATTCCATATTTGCATAACACAAATTTGTACCTAATAGTGGGATATGGGAATAGAGATGAATAAGCTATGGGCGAAAAACATGACGCGTCACGACGCTTCGACTGCGCCAGTGTGATTTACTTTTTGCTTGTAGCTCGAGTAACTTTTTGCTACTATAGTACATAAGTAGCTGAATAGAAACCATCACGTTATCTAATCCTTTTTTAGGATAAAGATAAAGCTACTACGTTCTGTATTATTGAGAACTTTGTGATCGTACAAAAAAATGTTATTATTTGATACCCGATCTATTTATACTGCGAACATTACGAACTTACGCCAAGTGATCTTCTACTGTTTATATATGTAGTAGTGATGAACATACTCAAATAATGCTCAACTAATTTCAGATCCTAATTATATCGATGTAGAGTAAAACACGAATAAAATGTCTGAATGCGATTAGCGTGTCAGTCAACGCTCACTTGACGTTCGTTGGATCCAGTTAAACCATAAACACGCTACCACTGTTTGATCGATATTACGTTACTGTCTAGAAATAAACATAAACATAGACCTTGGAGTGTCTATAATAACAAATACTATAATTTTATTCAGGAAGTGTATTCAGCAACTGCTACTTTTAGTTGTAAAGATTATGTATCATTATTTGTGAGCCCCGTCTTGTGGTCATAAAAGGGTAATGTAAAAGTGGAAAGTTTTCAATAATCTCGTATACGACACACAATGTCTACATTTTGTGTAAACTCGACTGCTGGTAATATACTCTAAGTTTTGCGGTTTTTAGTACTCATATAATATCGTCCCGGTCACCAAATGGACCGTGCTGTTAATTGCGCCGAAAATTGTTAAGTGCGCTTTTCGACTTACAAATTCGACATTAGATCTACGCTTCGTGAGTTAACATGTAACGTCTTGATTATGTAAATTCGTTGATTTATCTGGTCTGATATAGAATCACATTAAATAAGCTAGACTGTCGCCTTACCAATCACTAACTTTCAATGAGTTTCTTTACAATAAGTTTACACGTTTCGACATTCCTCACGATGGAAATGTAACAGAAGAATTCTTAAAGTCTGCTGGGTCGTTCTGTAGCTCAGTTGGGAAAGCATCAGGCACGGTATGCTGAATGCGCTGGTTTGAATCCAGCCGGATGGTAGAAAATTTTGTTAGTGTTCGATATTTGTATTAATAGCAGTAAGTAGGAGTAGAGCTCCTTATGAAAGAGTTCGTCCAGGGTAGTACTGCCACCTTACCTATTTCTGCCGCCAAGCAGTAACGTCAGCATTACTGTGTTCCGGTTTTGAAAGGTGCTGCTGGAATTACAGGCACATGGGACTTGTCATCTTATGTCTCAGGGTGACGGGCGCAGTGGCAGTGCCTCTCAGATCTTTGGGATTTAAAGCTCTGAGTGGCACTGCACCTGTTATGGATAGGCGTGTAGTTTGCTATCAGGCGCACGACTTGCTCGTTCCGTCACTTGACATTATGAAAAAAAAAATTATAACAGAAGGTTCAGTGTCGGACCTTCCGCTTATTTCAACAAGAATTCACGTATTTACATTACTTCCATGCCTCGTGGCTTGTTTAGACATGTTTCCAATATTACACTGACCTAAATCTCGACAGTTATGTGCACGGCCCCATCACGCTATTGTAATGGGAACTCTGGAAAACCGATTGTTTGTGAAACTCAAGAAGCGTAATGACAATGCTTTAACAAAAACGTGTACGTTTGTAACTAAAATTATTACATTTTGTTACGATTATACCTATTTATCTATTTCATTGGGAGAAGACGTGTATCCGTGTGTAAGTCGGTCGTATACAGATATCATCACTTAACAAACAACGCCGGTCAAGTAGAAAATCATTGGTTTTTACATGTAAACGATATACTAGTCAAAATAAACGTGAATATTAATAAATGTTGTCTAACGAACACATATTATACAATTACATTTATTGAGATTTTTGTGAAATAACTCCACTAGTTTTATTATTATCAATACAAAAAAAGAAAAATTTCGTCGACCCGGTGAAACTCGAACCCACATCCACGCTGCACCGTAGCATTGCTCTTACCAACCGAGCTACGGGTCCAGTTACTGAGCCGTCCAAATTGTCCTATATGTTTTTGTTATAGATCTTTGTACTTTGAGGGGCACAGTGGCAGTGTCCCTCAAATCTTTGCAATTTAAACCTCTGAGTGGCAATGCAACTCTTATGAACAGGCGTGTCGTTTGCCACCTGGCGCACGACTTGTTCACCCCGTCACTTGATATCATTAAAAAAATTCACTCTCCTATAAAATAACTTGAAAATTACTTGAGGGGTGTTGTTTCGCTAAGCAACGATATTCGAAATAATTAACTAAACTAAACTAAGTAACTTCAAAAAAAGGAGGAGGTTCTCAATTCGACTGTATGTTTTCTTTTTGTATGTATGTATATATGCTACGCGATAACTCCGCCATTTGCCAACCGATTTTGAGGATTCTTTTTTTGTTGGAAACAGGGTACCTCCATAGTGATCCCATTTAATTTTGAAGCAAATCATCCACCTCTGAGGGTGGCTGTTCACGCATGAAGATTCATTTTTATAAATAGCGCCTAAATTTTATTATAAGGAGCAATTATTTTAATGGTTGATTTTGCTATTTTCCAATTCAAGGCGTTTCTCTCTCTCTCAATATACTTTGAGTAGTGAGCACTGATTTTTATTATCTTCTGTGTATCCGGGTTTGCATACTATCCGGTAACCGATTTCAATAAAACTTGGCAAATAGGTGTAATTCCACGTACTTTTGAGGTCGGTTTTTTTAGCACTCTGTGCTGAGATTATTAACTTGTCCACATAGTTAAATAATTTTAATTGTTTTTGTGACAAACCTTTCACGTATCCCCGAAAAGTGCGAGTATCGAT